AAATTTACCAGTGCAATTAAAAACAATTATTTTGACGAGTGCGCGATAAAGGAAAAAGGCCAAGGCACAAACAGAGCCTTCCGTGGCCTTATAAATAGCCATGCTAACTGACTGACTGACGCGCTTCATTAATATGCAAAGTGGCTCAGCTGGAATCGTCCCGGCCGAAGTAGTTCCCCCTGTTTACCCCCCTGACTATCGAGTAACCCACCTGTAAGAGGCATTAAAAGTATCAACGTTTAAACGGTTATTACCAGCGTTTTCATGCTGCATTTGCACTGGCCGAAACGGGAGGAAAACATGGCCAACAACAGGTTGTTCTGAACCCCCTTTTCTGTAGTTTTCCAGCGACAGCAATTGCGTGTCAAATTGAACTTGACTGGCAAACTAAGTGGGGGGAATATCAAAAAGTGGGGAAGGAGACTTGTTTGGGGAAAGGTGGTCAGAATAAATGGGTTGTTGACGTTGTTTGAGTCGCCTTTTTCGAATATTTACATACATATGTTCTGCATATTTATCAAGACTTCATAAGAAAGCGAATAGGCAATAATTATGCAATTGCTAGAGGGGGAAATCTACATGGTATCTTTTAATTAAAGTAGTATGTTGGGGAATGCTGGTCTAAATGTTTATATAACTTTTTTGTTGGTCTGAAAAATAACGAAATATAGCAATGAAAATGTACAAAGGTTCCAACTGCAATTGAACTCTCTACTAATTCTTTCAAAGGTCATTTCCAACTATCCCATTTGAAGCTCATCCCAAAGAGAAAAATTGAACTCTACTGTAATGATCGTTTTACTGCCCAAAATACCTGGCCTACAACTCACCTCAGCAAACCCTTTTTCCCTATTTTCCTTTCCCTCAAAGACTGACAGCAATTTGGGCCCTTAATCTCAATTTAAAATTTAAAGGGATTCTGGGAAAATCTTTTCCACTGACCGCACACACAGCTGTTCCCTTAAAATTTCTAATAAATATTCCTTATCCTTGGCTACACTTTCACTTTAACTTTCTTTTCTGCGATGCTCGATCGCAATAAATTTTCCAAAGCTGTCAGCAAATAAAGTGAAAAACAAGTTCTGCCGAGAAAGTGTCCAAGAAATTGTGTAATTTTTACCCCAAAAAAGGCGAAATAAATGCGCTGGGCGATTAAGAATATGTAAATCAGGGAAGGAACCCGATTCAACCAATAAAACTTTTTAAGGCGCCGGAGGAAACTTTTCTGGCAAATTTGTGGCTAATTTATGATACCAACTCAGGTAACAAGCAGAAAGGGAAATGAGCTGAGTTTAGAAAGGTTTGGCTGTACCGCGATAAGAAAAAGGATATCATCTTCGTAGGACTTCGAGTGTCTGGAACGTGTTGCATTTACGAGGTTGAACGAAAGGGGAAACGGGTTTCGTTTTCTTTATGCTCGCATTGCACAACCCCCTTTGGCAGGATTTTCTCCTCAAGAGACAAAAGGAAACTGGGCAGAGGCAAGTTTTCCACCCGGCAGCGGAAATGAGAAAAACTTGTGCGCGAATCCTTTTCGCTTGCATCTCGGCGGCTGTCTCGGAACTAATTTTAATGACAATTCACGAGGCGCGGATGTCGCGACATTCGGGATAATGTGAAAATGAGCAGAGGGAGGAACCGCTGTCCATCCCTAAAAAATGCAGATTTTCCCATTTCCCATAAACTCCCCTGGCCAGCCTTCATTTCCTTGGCTATTTTCTCAGCGGTTACTTCGCAATCTTTGGCAGCCATTAATCATAAATGCAAAAAGAAAAAATGTAACCGTGGAAAATTAAAAATAAAAACAACAAGTTACTGAGTAACACTATTTCATAACCTTTAAATACATTTTAATCAGATGTATTTTTTAATAAATTACTCATTTTGGGTAATTTATAATTGTCTAAACTACTTATTCACGTTTTTACCCTTTTAATGCAGGTATTGACCAAATTAAAAGTTAATTTATTGCCCTTTCACTCGGTTTTTTGAGACAGGATAGTATTAATTACAGGGTGCTGCCCTTATTTCTCACTGACCGGTACAACGACCCCTCCGAGGACCTAACTTTGACTTTTTGGTGCCATGCGAGTATCCTTTGACATGTCGCCTGTCCGCTTATCGGAGCGAGTGCATCGCACCCAGCTTTTCTCCTTTTCTCCCGTTTTTCCCTTTCTCCCAGGCATTTCCCCGCTTTTCTCCAACTGCGATGCTATCTGTGAGTGGTCTAGTTTCCAGTTTGCCTGACCCATTATTAGCTGTGAAATGCATGAATGTCTCTGTGTGTGTCCTTTTGTCCTTTGGGACTTGATTTCCTTTACGTTGGACATTTCCTGTAATTTCTCACTGGGAAAATATGGCACACACACACATTGAGCGGGGAAAATATCTTTGGTAAAACGTTTCAAATTAGCGCCTGGGGAATGGCCAAAAAACAAATGTTGAAAAGAACTTGACTTGCCGCAGAATGGCATTTCCCACTGCGGATTGCAAGGTGTTCTTTTTCTCTTCCTGTGTTTTTTTTTTTTTTTGATTTCTTCAACCAAGTGTTTTTCCCACGTAGCAGAAGAGTGGCGGCTCTTGGGGAATATATTAACCCAAAACTTTGGTGGAAATAAACCCATACTCCCAAGTCTTAGAACCCTTTCTCTTGCATTTTTGAAGCCATCTATCTTCCGCTGTCAACACCGCATGGCTTTGTTCTCTACTCTCCAGGTCTCGAATGTGGTAATTGTTTTTCTTTACTGAACCACCCAAAAACCCTTCCTCATTCCCCCGCCCTCTTCATTCCACATTTTGCGGCTAAACTTTAAACACGCGCAATGCGCTGCGCATGCCAAATGAGTAGAAAGAACCTGAAAAGTAGGGGGTTTCGGTGGGTGGTGCCCATAAATTTGCATTTAATGAACATTTCCAAAAAGCCCTAGAAGATGCCGCCCCTCCAGAATTAACGCTTTTTGTTTGTCCGTAATGGGTTTTAATTATGTGGGTGGATGGGTGGTTGTTGCATATAATGAGGTGGCTAAATGAAAAGGTTTTTCAGCGCAGGCGTAACCGCAGCACAGGAAACGTCTGTTTGGTGGGTGTTTTTCTTCTTCATTTTTCGTTTGTTTGGGAAGAAAAAAAAACACATCCATCTGCATCAGATTTCACTGTAACTGTAGGTTAAAACCCTGTTCACATCACATCATCACTGGTCCATTGTTGGGCCATTTTTGCAGTTGACTTCTGCAATCCGCATCCTCAGTTTCACCCTCCCTCCTTCTGCTCTCTCTTCACTTTACGATTTGATTTCATTGCCATTTGTCGAACAGTTCATGTGAAAAATTGTCATAAAAATGCCATAAAATTGTTTTCGTCCTGGCAATGAAAAAATAGTTGTAAAATCGGTGAATGCATGTTGCACAGCTTGTAAAGCTATAGAAATATGAGGAAAATAAATGGTTTGATTTATGAAAAAGAGATGGAAGGCAATGAACCATTGAACGATTAGATTTTATTGGATTGAAAATGGGTTAAGTTTGATGGTAAAATAGGTGAAGGTTAAGCGGAAATATTAAACCAGTTTATGAACTTTGAATTTATTTCTACTCTCACTTTTATTAATCCCAATGAGTTAGTATTTGTGTTGGCAATTAAATTTGATTCTTCTGCTTTAACTGTATATTCCTTCTGTCTTTATAAATCTTCAAAATCATCCAATGTTTATTGTCTTAACCCATCCCCCGAATAATCTCCAATTACCCCTTGAAATACCACTTTCACCGCCACTTTCCTCGCAACACACTTCAAAACTATCAACACACAGCGCCATTCGGAGAAGTCGAGCTCTTCGACTTCAATCAGGCTCATCAGAGTCGTGTTTTTGATATCCTTTTCCCATAACTGTCATCATTTCGTATGCGAGCTCCATTCGGATGGCAAAAGGAATGGGTAGGTGTTAATTTACGAGTGACAGGCCGTGAGGAGCTCCTCCTGTTAAAAATAAACAGAGATGCGAGTGAGCGCAGAGATTTTCCTCGGCTACTTTCGAAAATGTGGAAATGTGGAGCAGAGGAGCAGCTGCAATAGCAAACGCCAAAGGACATTGCACAACAACAGAGTAAACATCCTCTTTTAAGTTTTATGTGTTCATTTCGAGGCGTTCGTCGTTTGTATGTCAACATAAACTTCTCAAAAAAAAAGAAGCAAGAACAAGCGCTGCGCACAAAAAATAATATGCGCTAGTGACAATAAACTCGAGAAAAATATGAACTCGAAAACTGAAGAGCGAAATATGTTCAAGTGGCCACTCATAATTCTTTGCGAGTGCGTAAGAGCAGCTCGAAAATGTTCGGAGAGCCAAAGAAAAGGCTTCGGGATATAAAAAGTGTTCTTGACTTTCAGACAAGAAATAACTCAGAATGCTGTGGGAAATGCAAAAAAAAATGTCTCAAGGTGAAAGTTATATTAAAGATGCGAAAAGAAGACATTTTAAGATAGAATTAAATACTATATTTAAAGTATTGAAATAAAATACACTTAACTTAAATTATGAGAAACCTTTAAATAACTTCGGATAGAATTCCTTTGTTCATTTCTTAAATAATTTTTATGATACTGACTTATAAATGCCATTCATTCTATAAACGTTCTCCTTACAAAACCATCGGTTGTTCTTTGAGAACACCTCAATGAGCTCTCGAAGTCAGGAAGTCTTGAGCACAGTAGTGGCACTTTCGATCGTGTCCTTGTTCTTGTTCTTGTTCCCATAAATTGGCGGGCAGACCAAAACCGATTCTTAACCCCCGGCAGAGGTTAACCCTTGTGTGTGCGTGGCACTTAAGTTTTGGGCTCAGTGACTCGAATCCTTTGCTTTTCCGCTGTCTCCGAAGCATGAAGAGATTGCATGTTCGCGAATCTGAAGCTCAGCTGTGCCAACTCTAAGCAACTGATTGACTCTTTGCGTGCCGTGTTATTAACCCGCTTCCTGTTTCTGTTTCTTTTCCTCTCCGTTGCAGACGTCAGCATGCCTTCATGGCCAACACACAGAAGCAGCAACCGCCGGGCGGCGGTGGAAGCGGCACTGGCAGCGTCACCCACAGTCCGGAACGCCTGCGCGGAGCTACCCAGGATCTCTTTGAGCTGCTCGAGCGTGTGCAGTGCTCGCGACTCGACGACCAGCGCTGCGTCCTGCCCGCTTACTTCTCTCAGGTGGGTAAACGAAAGTCACCAAGGTGGAACCCCCTAACAAATTACAGGTTCATGGGATTTTTCACCAAGAAAGGGAGATGTTTGCAAAGACTAATTGGTAGTTATGACGTTTGGAAGCAAGGAGTAATAAATACTGCTTTAATACATTTATTCACATTTCTTTTTAGTTTATAAAAAACCGAAATGAATTCTATTCAGTATCGTGTAATCTTTAAAGATTTATATTAAAGAATGGTCACACCTAAACTTAGAAGCTCACATGTCATTTACTTTAGGCAGAATTTTACAATACTAAATCACAACTTTTAAATTACATTAAGAAAATAATTCGGATAATCAATTTACAAAAGTTAAATCAAATTATTGTATTAAATACAATATCCGACCTTAGTAGGTTTCAGTAACAAAGCCTTACTGTTCTGATTTCAGGTAGTTTATAAATAAGGGTTTAAATTTGATGGCATGTTTCATCAAGTATTAAGGTTAAGAGTGCCAATATCCCCTCCTAAATGACAAGGTATCTTGATAAACAACCGACTGACCTACGACAATGGGCTGGCAATTTTCCAACATGGGTCATCGGCCCATTAGGACTGGCCCTGTCCCCGGGCATATGCTCCACTAATCTAAGTGTGTGATGGACTGACCCATAAAATTCCAACTTGCAGTTGCAATATACCTCATTTCCCCACACATTTAGTAGTAAAAATTTCATTTTACTGCTGCCAAGTCATAAAAATTGCCAATGGGACAATGAATGGGGAACGGGATGACGGCAACATGAAATTGTGGGCGAGCCTAGATCGAAACAAAGAGTCAGTAACAACAATGCCTCATATGAGGAGTTCATCCCCGCCCAAAAAAAAAAAAAATAGAAACCCCCCAACGAATTTACCTTTCCAAAACATCTGTATAATTTGACATAATCTGCGCTTTGTTGTGGTGTTTTCGGGTTCCGTCTCCTGGTTTAATAGGCAAATTGTTCGGCAGTCATGGGTTAATTTATTTGGGTGCGGGTGGAACTGTGTGCTGCGAGGGATTAAGTGGTCGGTTTGATGTCGATTTTTACGATTCAGCTGCGGTCTTTGAAGTTTTTGGCAGCTGTCAGGTGTGGCTCCTCTACTTTATTGCAAAATTTATTAGCTCTATTTTGAGGAATAGATCGTTAAGGTGTATTGAAGTCTCCTGAAGGGTTTGGCAAGCCAAAGAAATTTTTAAGGCATTTTCCCGAAACAATGTTTATACTTTCCTTAGAAACGGCAACTAATTTTACAAAAGCGCCACTGACAACCAAGCGTTTATTTTGCGAACTACTGTGTAAATTTTCCCATCACACCCGCTAGAGGGTGTTTATGTAGCGACACCTAGTGGATTGTGTGTGAGGCTTTGAATACTGTGGCGCCTTTGGTTGGCTTACACCAGAACTAAACATCATGTAGTACTGAAATCGCCCAAAAGAAAAACATTTAATTTAACACAGAAAAAGTCTTAAATTATTAAACTCACATAATTTATAAAAATTTAAATTTTAAAATACAATAACCGACTTGATTTTGTTAAAAAATATTTTACATTTTCTTATATTATAATCAACTAAATCAATAAATCTTCAATCACAAACTGAACTGTTAAAACCTAACAAAATCAAAATATTGTTATTGTCACTCACAGAGCCAGCGAAACTATTTATTTGCTTTAAAACTTGGCCCCTTTTGCATTCCCCATTTAAACACCTCTACGGCAAAGTTCCAGTTTAATTTGTTGTCGAATTTCTAGAGCATAATCCACTTGGCCTTCCCCAAGAACTATATCGCTTCCTGCCTTGCCTTTTCTCGATCTTTTTTTTTTTTTTTTTTGCCCGGCATGCAAGTTGCAAAGCCTTTTCAGATTTTAATTTAGTTTTCGCAACAATTTCGGAGGCAAACTTTTCTATTTCAAAAGGCCGAAGGGACCGTCCCCTAGCCCTTTATCCACAAGTGGTTTTTGCAGTGCAGCAAAGTGCAGCAGCCCGCATCCCTCATCTCCTCCTCGAAAGCCTATGCCATATTTTCTCAAGATGCAGCCTCCTCATCCACATTCGAGTGCCTTTTATGCAGGCTTTCCTTGGGAAAGGCAAAAAATAAAATAAAAGGGGAAAAAAGCAATGGGGAGTCTGGCAAAAAGTCTCGTCTAGCATCTTGAGGCAAAACTGGGTTGACTCTCAGACTGTGTATGAAAATTATGTTGACTCGAGTTGGTAAAATTGAATTTGGGTTCGGGCTAGTGCCTGTCAAACTGTGACGTTTGGCCACGTGCCGTGAAGAAAATCATTGCTGTGTGTGAGAGTCTCTTTCCTCGGAGTTTTCCCCACTAGACATGCCTTTGTGTACGGCTTTTCCCACTTCCCTCCTCACTACTTTTCCTCTGTTTTTTCCGTTTTATTTGCCTGCGTATCTTTGCTCCCTATTGCATAGTTTCTCGCACGTTTTTTCCCATTGCATACTTTGGGGCTAATAAAGGTTTGCCTGGGAATGTTTAAATTCCGTCCGGTACCTTTTCCCACACCTTCTCCACCACTCCCCAACACTCCAATGCGGCTAATTAAGCTGCCCAAATAGCAGTTGTTTTTGGTCGGCATTCTCCTACACAGGGAATAAATGGAGTTGAAGGTCAGGCACGGCCACGTGTGATTAGAATTTGGAATTTGATTTTACAACTAATTACGCTGATATAAGACTATAGTGCCGATTTGTGTATATCAGTGATATGTTAAAATATTTTAATGGCACTTACATAAATGTATATAAGTGAACCCATTTAAAAGAAAAGGATGGAAATTTCGATCATATATTTATTGTTTTGTAAGCAGGAAGATAATACTCCAATTTCAATTGAGTTACATATATTTATACATATTTACTCTACTCTCTTTTTATTATCAGCAAACGAGCTGTCAAATTCAAACATTAAAAAGCTAAATTGATTGTTAGCAAGAAATAGAACTTCCTTTCTAGATAAACATAATATTTTGTAGACTTTTTCTATACAGTAAATAAATTCATACACAAAAATTACTTATATCTTCAAGACTAATTTTTTAGGCATTCATATTTTTAATTATGCACTATTTTTTTGCAAGGTTTTGTGAGCAACTTTTTCCACCTTTTACTGCATTCCCACGAAGCCGGAAATCTGGGGTCTTTTGTTTTATGGAGGAGAACCCTCCGCCATCTAAGATTCGCTGCAAATTTATGCCCGACTCCCGCTCCTCCCGCCTTTCTCCCTAATTCCCTTCCTTTCCCATTATAAAAATATACTTTGGCCATTTCATTTCGGTTGCTTTGGACGTTTTTCTTGCATGTTTTTCACGGGCTGTGGCTTCAGTTTTTGCCCCATTCCCCTCGTTTTTAGCCGCACACACATTAGAAGTCTCTTATGTCTTTGTCTCAGTTTGTGGTGCTCGCCGAGTGCAATTTGTCTGCCCGCCTCTTCTCACTCTTCCTCTTCCCTTCTCATTACCCCGCCAGTTCTCCTTCGAGTCTCCACCTTCCTTCTCACAGTTGAGCAGTCCCTGTTGGCGAATGCAACGAACGTTGAAGTTGTTAATTGCGCTGGTCGTCGTCGGTCTACCCGTCTCTTTCCCAAACGCATTCGCTATCTCTTTCGCCGGCTGGAGGTGCCCGCAAACCTGGCCGAAAAGCGGCGGAAAGGTCCGGAGACCGGAGCAACTTACTCCCACAGTCAGCGGCTTGAAAGTGAGCTGCATTTAAACGCGGAGAAACGGTGATAGGAAGAGCGGGTGCACTGACGAAAAATACCATTTAAGAGGAAAAATATTAATTTGGAAGGTTCAAACCATTTAGTCGAAGAATCAACTTGACAAACTTCACTCGAATTTTAACATTAAATACCAAAAAAAGTTAAAATATCTCTAACTTCGACAAAATATTTGTAATTGATACCTATATTATTGGTACATAAACACATGAATTTGCTTAAGTACAATTCATAATTCTCAGATCGATATAAATACATGATTGTAATATTGGGCATAGAAATATAAATAAAAGAATTCAGAGCACCAAATCTGCTGTTACTTTTTGACCAGTAACTTCCCAAAAAAACATTATGTAGCTTATAAATCTTACAACATATATCCTAGCTATTTTCTCCAGTGTATTAGCCGACAGAGAGGGCGACACACTCACTCACGTATGAATTCTAAGTCAGAAATGTGCGATGTTTATCACCATCATCTACCTACACGTATCCGTAGCGCGGGCCTGTAAATTATCCCAAAAAAAACCAAGCAATCCGAAGAGATACTCTAAATCTATGTATCTCTATCTTTATCCCGCCTGCACTGTGGCACTTAAAATTTATAATTATTTTCCGCTTGTTGCATCTCCTTCTCCTGCCACTTCTTCAACTTTGCCATGTGGAAATCTTTCCGTTACTCATTCGTGGCTTTTTAATTTCCTCTTCTATGGTCTTTCCTCCTTTTGCGAACAATGCAACTTTAAAATATTTTTCTTCGGCCCGGCTTATTTCTTTTTTATTTTTCGGCGGATCTCTGACATTAACCTAGGGCTGTGTCATCCACCCACATGCCCGTGCCCCCTTTTCTTCGCCCATGAATGCACTCCTTTTCCCCCCCCGCCTCCTTTTCGCTGTCTCTGATGTTTACCTTGTTGCTGCCTCGCTGACTTCGTTGTTGATTGCCAGCTGACAGCGGCAGCAACCACAAAATAAAAAAAACGTAAAAAAAAAATAATAAAACCAGGCAAACCCCAACTTAAAACTCTTTCACATGGAATTTAAAGCTCTGCGGCGGATTTCAGATGCGGGCTCAGCATAACCAATTAACCATGAGAAGCGCTCTGGAAGCCAGCGATCTATCTTTCTGTCTATCCATCTTTCAAACTTAATATCCATCTACTTGTGCAGATATGTGTTTATTAAACGAGGCATCTATGAGCACTGCAAAAGTGATTGAAGCTTCTGACAACAAAAATCTCATT